TTAACCAGTCTAAATATTCATCTACATCATTCCATCTCAATTGGCCCATACTTTCAATAGCCAACAAAAGAAGGGATAGAATTTTCTGCCCTATGATTTTATTCTAACTCCAAATAATTTAAAAACAGAGAATAATATACATAAATATGTAAGTTAAGTGATATACTCAACCTTGATGAAAGCTATCAAGAAGTAAATAAATCAATATTTGTGGGCTCTGAGTAACAATATTAGGTTTGTTGTCACTAATTTAGGGTTTATCTTTGGTACTCAAAAATTAATGCCCTCACCGTGCAAAAAAATCGGTAAAAGACAACAGTACCCTCACCGGTAGGATTTTATTGCAGGTGGATCATGCATGAACCTGTCAGTAGTCTTATACATATACATAATTTAAGTTCATATAAAACAGTACTTTAAAAAAAAATAAAACATTTTGCATGGAAAATTAAATAATTAAACTAACCAGGCCTCTAGTAGTGTTAATTAAATCAACTGCAGTTGCATAATATGAAAATGGTACTTCTATAATTAGTGGTTAGCTTAATTTTTTTACAAAGAAGGTACATAATGATTTGTTTAATTCAATATATATTTATACATACACTATTTGAATGAGTTTATATTTAAATATGGGTGTTCTTTAAAAGATTGTCATATGTGTTATATGAATGATAATGTAGGGAAATTTTTGGGGATAAGATTTATATATTTGGTAGGGCATTTGATTGTGAATTTGTGATGCAATTAAATGCCCATGAATTTACTTTAATTTTACTTATTTCTTCAAGTAATATAAGTTTGAAAACTACGGTATATATATAAAATACCAACAAATATAATTTCATTTCTCATGTCACGTACTTTTATATCAAATTAAATGTGCCCAGTCAATGAAACATATTATCATCCGTAAACTGTATAAAATTTTAATTTTATTTGTTCAATATCAATGCAAACACTCACAATTTAAATCTTAAATAAGAAAATTAATTAAAAAAAAAATATTTAGACTCATTTTCCCATACTTAGCTAAAAAAAATAGGAGTTGGGCCATGCCAAAAAAATTTCATTGAGTTCGAGTCGACTAAAACCACCTCCAGCGTTGCGCCAGATGAAGCGTTTTGCGCTGGAGTAGCGATATATTCTGCTCCAATGCAGCGCCAGACTTTTGCGTAAGATGAGAGTGGTGAATAGTTTTGCGCCATATATAGATGTCAGAAATTGGGGAACATATATAGATGTTAGAAATTAGCTATAGAAATCAAAATCAAATTACATTTGAATTTTTCCCATATATATATAAGAAAAAAAAAAAAGAGTGGACATGGCATTATTAGTGTGATACATTACATTACATGCAGGTTTGTGCTTTATTAATTTGTCCTTCACATTCTCAACCAACATTAGTTGCACCTCCAACTAACAAATTAAAGATGGCTTTAAATGACCATTTTTGTTTTAAGCTAATTTGTAAAGTCTCTGGACCACACACAGCTAATAATATATCTCTATCCTTTTCTTTCTTTGTGATTGTGCATTGTTTTGATCAATAATGCTAAGGAGCCAATTGTTGGCTCCGTTACGGAGCCAACAGCCAATGAGACAATTCTACGTGGGATTGTCCCACATGGCTCCAATGTGGGATAGCTCCACATGGAGCTGTGTTGTTGGCTCCGTAACGGAGACAACAATTGGCTGTTGTTTTGATTTAGAGGTTGAGAAGTAAATATTTGTAATAATGATGTTTAATTAAAGGTAAGAAATGCACTACTAATGTTATTCACAGCTTGGCATGGAGCCCCCTATTTCAGTTATTTCAATTTTTTTTAGTTCAGTGTATTTATTAATAATTAATTATGAGCCCACAAAATAAGTTTGTTAAATATTAGCATCTCCAACCATGTTAACTAATTAATTTAAACTGATTTTTTTGAACTTCAAAAATCTTCACTATGTAACTTATTATAATTAATAGTCATTAACTAATTAAGTAAAATTTATTGCAGACAAAACTATATAAAGAAAATTTAACTCAAACATTAATTTAGAGAAAAATAATTAAATTGAATTTAAAGAAAATATATACTATATAATATAGAGAAAATAATTAAATTTTGAATAACTGATATATATTACTACACACTGACATGACATCCCTCGAAGGGCTAAAAATTTCTTTTGTGGGATAAAGTTAAGGGAAGGGAAGATGAGGGAGGGAAGCACATTCTCCACTCCCATTATGCCCTTGTCTCCTCTCTCTTTTTGCTTTACCTTTTTTACCCTCTCTCCAATCGATTTTTTTTTTTTTCAAATAAAAACTATTTTCATCCCTTTTTAAATCCTTTTGTTTTTGTTTTTTTTTTTCTTTTTGGCCCTTTTTGTGCTTTGGTCAATGCCTTACAGTCTGACATATTTTTGACCAAACATAAATGTACTTAATAGCAAAATGAACAGTAAATTTAAATTTGATCAATATTACTTCCCATCACATTTTATAAAAACGTTTACCTGTATTAATTATGAAATATTTTATTTTTATTTACTTTATTGTATATCATTTTAGTTAGAAAATATAAATATATGTTGGAAAAATAAGATTTCATAACAATGGCTTATAATAATTGCTCAAGTGGTGAAATTCTTGCAATTTGTTTAGGATTAGTTAAGGATTTTTAAATCTAAAGGGAAAAAAAAAAGACAAATGTTTGCTGGTTAATTCATTTTCACATTGTAGATTCAAAAGAGCTTTCTTTCTACTGATTTTTCAGTCTTTACCCTAAAGTTAAGGCAGAACTGAAGCATATTATTAAAATGTGGTTGGTTTTATTTCCAATTTTATTTTATTTTTTTTTTTCTCACACATCTCATAAATTGTACCTAATAATTTGTATTATGAGAGCAAAAGAATATCTCTCACTTTGTTTTGAAGAAATTAAAGAATAAAATTTGTGTATGGAGGCTCCTTTTGCCATAATCAATGACCCACATATCATGTGATATATATGTTGTCATTTGAGAAGTGTGAATAAAGACCAACAACATTAACAATCTCCTTATCATTTGGTCCCCAACTTTTTCCTTTTTTTACATTAACACCCCTACACTCTTTCTAATGTACAATCATATAATTCACCACCAAGCATCTTCCTTTTCTTCATTACTACTAATAAAAAGTAGAATTCAAATAAACTGTAATTGCAAATTTTCTTTGCTTGGTTAACTAAAAAGGTGAATGAAAATACGAAAAAACAAGAATAAATTAAAAAATTCGAGGGGTCTACAACACTTTACATTAAACCCTACACAAAACAAAGAAACTTCTTAACCCATAGAGAGAGAGAGAGAGAGAGAGAGAGGCCGGCCCAAAGGATTTTTAACTCGATTCCCCAAAAATTTGGCCACACATCTTTTTACTTTCCTTCATTTTCACCCCACATATTTTTCTCTTTTCCTTATTACACCCCCCAAACTAAGACTCCCGTGCCGTTACCGTCACATTCACAGTCCACTAGACGAATCGCCGTTAACTGCAAAATTTCAACTATCCTCCTCGCCGTTAAGATTCAGAACTTCCTCAACTATCCTCCTCGCCGTTAAGATTCAGAACATCCTCACCATCACCGTCAAAACCGCCTCCGTCCAAGTCGTCCCCCCACCTATCCGCCGGGCTGCAGTCCTTTTTGTGGCGGAGCTTCCAATCCAGCGCCTGACAGGCTCGCGAGCAGTAGTTCAC